TACTCAGAATAGCAAGGATGACAAGGATATTATGAACAAATACACTTAAAGATGGCTACCCATAGTCTAAAGGTATGTCTTCCTTTTTTTCCTCCTTTCCTTTCTTCCTTTTCCTCCCTCCCTTCCTCCTTTCCTTCCTGTTTAATTTTTTGTTATTTATTTTAGAGAGAGAGAAAGGGAGAGTGTGTGGGGAGGGACAGAAGGAGACAGAGAATCTGAAGCAGGCTCCATGCTGTCAACGCAAAACCTGACATGGGGCTAAAACCCACAACGTGAGCTCATGACCTGAGCTGAAGCGGGGTGCTCAACCAACTGAGCCATCCAGGTGCCTCATCCTGTTTTACTGTTTATGACGGAAAATTTAAACATGCACTAAAGTGGAAAAGAAGGCAGGATGATGGACTTCCATGCACCCATCACCAGCTACAGTTATTTTGTCAATGATCTTGTTTTATTTATTCCCTTGTTCCAGTAACACTGCTTTGCTACAGCATTTTAAAGTAAATTTCAGAGGCACCTGGGTGGCTCAGTCAGTTAAGTATCCGACTTCAGCTCAGGTCATGATCCCCCTGGTTCATGAGTTTGAGCCCTACATCTGTGAGTTTGAGCCCCACATCAGGCTCTGTGCTGACAGCTTAGAGCCTAGAGCCTGCTTTGGATTCTGTGACTTCCTCTCTTTCTGCCCCTTCCCCACTCAAGCTCTGTGTCTCTGCCTCTGTCTCTCTGTCTCTCAAAAATAAATAAGCATCACGAAAAAATAAATCAATAAAGTAAGTTTCAGACATCCTCTCTCCTGTATTTCAAAATGAAATCTCACTGGGGCACCTGGGTGGCTCAGTCGGTTAAGTGATCGACTTCGGCTCAGGTCATGATCTCAGGGTTCGTGGGTTTGAGCCCCGCGTCAGGCTCTGTGCTGACAGCTCGGAGCCTGGAGCCTGCTTCAGATTCTGTGTCTCCCTCTCTCTCTGCCCCTCCCCTGCTTGCACTCTGTTCTCACTCTATCTCTCAAAAATAAATAAATGTAAAAAGAAAAAAAAAAACAAAAAGAAGAAGTCTAACATAACCAAAAGGCAATCATCACACCTAAAAAAGATTCCTTGATATTAAAGATACGCCTGTTTAGAACGTGGTTTGGTAATACTCATTGAGAATATATACATACACTTTGACACAGTAACTTTGCTTCTTTCTCTGTTTAATTACGGAAAAAATTTATTCTGTGGCCTAATTTGCAAGAGAAAAAGACATAATTGGAAACAACTTGAACATCTAACTGGTAAGTACGGTATGAACATACAAGCGTGTTTGTAAAGTTTTTTTTTTTTTAAGATTGTATTTTTAAGTAATCTCTACATCCAACACAGGGCTCGAACTCATGAAGGATATTTATAAAGTTTTAAGGCTGAATGGCGATGCTTATTGCTAATGCAACGAAGACCAAGCAGCGTTTAAAATTACATATTCAGGGGCACCTGGATGGCTCAGTTGGTTAAGCATCCGACTCTTGATCTGGACTCAGGTCATGATCTCATAGTCATGAAATTGAGCCCCGAGTTAGGGCTCCCCGCTGACAGCACAGAGCCTGCTTGGGATTCTGTCTCTCTCCCTCTCTCTCTGCCTGCCCCCCTCCACCTCTTGCATAGTCTCTCCCTCCCTCTCCTCTCTCTCAACAATAAACTTAAAAAAATAAATAAAATTACGTATCCAGTATGAGATTTGTAAAAATGCCTATAAAAGGTCTCTCCGAGCACTGACAATATCTTAGATGCTGTGCAGTGTTTACTCAAAAGGTGGGAGCATTATGAATGCCTCTTACAGATGAGAAAACTGCTGTTCAGAGACATGAAATCACTTTCTAGAATACCTGTCAGGTGCTAGGTAGTAAACTCAGGCATGGGTGGAGCCCTAGATTTGTCTGGCTCTACAGCCCAAGGATCTGACCGAGCATCTGCTACGCTGGGAATCAAAATGTTACCAGTAGTTACTGGCTGAGCAGTGGGATTAGAGGTGATTTCTTTTTCTTCTTCGTGCTTTTCTTCACTTTGCAGCATTTTCCACTGAAGGTATTCATTTTATGTTAGCAAAAAATATGTTCCGACTACATATTTTAAATTGTGTATTTAAAAGTTCAGGGAGAACATATTAGGAACATGTGCTATACAAAGAACTAGCATGGCCAATGTGCAAAAAAAAAAAAAAAAAAAAAAAAAAAAAAAAAAAAAAAAAATCCTATAAACTGATAAGAAAAAAGATAATTCAGGGTAAAAGATGTGATTCAGAAACCCAATGGCAAATGATATAATAAAGACCATGGGAGTGCCCGGGAGGCTCAGTTGGCAGTGTGACCAATTTGTCTCCAGCTTAGGTCATCATCTCATGGTTCTGGGGATCAAGCCCCAAGTCAGGCTCCTTGCTGACAGAGTGCAGCCTGCTTGGGATTCTCTCTCTCACACTCTCTCTGCCCCTCCCCCACTTGTGTTCTGTCTCCCTCTCTCTCTCTCTCTCTTTCTTCCTCTCTCTCTCTCTCTCAAAATAAACAAGCTTAAAAAAAGAAGAGATCCTGTATCTCACCAGTACCCAAGTAATGACAAATTAAAACCACAATGAGGTAGCATTTTCTATTTATCAAATTAGCAAAAATCAGAAGGATTGATAATGTCCATCATAAGGAGATGGGGATAAGAGGCACTAGTACCCACTGCTGGGAGGATGGGGGCACTTCTAATGGTATCATTAACAGCAAACACCCACCCCATCAGACCCAGCACAAACCCAGCCCTTGTAAGACTCTTACAGAAATAAAAGCAGCCAGGGTCTATGTTCACAAATTGTTACTGCTGTATTATTTGTAGGAAGGAAACTGGAAAAGCCTCACTGCCCACAAATGAGAGAATCATTCAATACGTCACAATCCATCAATTCAATGGAATATCAGGCAGCTGTTAAAAAAAAATATATAATTAGGTCTGTCGTGGTTTGTGAGATCGAGCCCCACATCAGGCTCTGTGCTGACAGCTCAGCTCCTACTTGGGATTCTCTCTCTCTTCCTCTCTCTGTCCTTCCCTCATTCCTACTCCCTCTCTCTCTCAAAATAAATAAATAAACTTTAAAATAATAACGATAATTGCATCCGGGGTGGCTGACGGGCTCACTAGGTACAGCATGCAACTCTTGGTCTCAGGGTCGTGAGTTCAAGCCCTACACTGGGCATGGAGGCTGTTAAAATCAAACAAACAAAAACAAAGAAAGAAAAAACAGATCTGTAAGTGATGGCTTGTGAAGAGAAACGGAAGGTGCAGAGTATTGTGTATGACCTCATTACTCAAGCATGGTCCCCTGTCCGGAAGTGCTGGCCTCACCTGGGAGCTTGCTGGAAATGCAGAATCTTGCCCCTGTCCTAGACTGACTGGCTCAGAATCTGCATTTTAACGAGAGTCCCTGGGGAAGCACTAGGTCTCTGGTGTGATTCCCATGGGAAAGCCTCCTCAGGTTTTGTGGCAAAAATGGACAGTCGTCCACCCCAATACACCCTCTCCTTCTATTCTGCTGGCTTCCTGTTTTTCACCGGCACATGGCCACCCAGGATGAAGGTATATTTCCCAGCCTTCCTTGCAGTTTGGTGGGACCATGTGGCCAGGCTGTGGCCAAGAGGGCAGAACTGGAAGGGAAGAATGTCATTTCTGCATTGTGCCCCTAAGAGGGCATATGCATGTTTGCAAAAGCACCGCTGAGCAAGAAGGAACGTGTAAAATGACGCCCTTGAAGTGGTCACTGTGGGTGGCTCCAGCGTGGGACCAGTTTGCAATCGCACTCAACATCCAGACAACTCTGGGGAACGTGATTTTTCCCATTTCGTAAGTAAATGCCTGCAGCAGCAAGAATCTTTACAGCAGGACGCTCAACTGACACGGATTCCAGCCTCCGAAGACGCCAGTTTTCCTTCTCTCCCTCCATCCTGCCCTCCTTCCCTCATCCCCTCCTCCTCCTACAGGTGGGCAGAGATGAGGTCCCAGGGCAGGCAGGGCGCAAAGTAGAACAGGCAGGGCTCCTGGATCATCTTCCACGGCTTTATTTTCACTTCTCCTGTCCATTCTCCAAGGGCAGTGGGGGATTGCCTGCTGAGAGGGAGGGTTTCCACAGTGCCCCTGCGGGCGCCCCACACTTCCTACTGGTAAAATGGCATCAAGGGCCCCCATCGGTTCAAGACGGGGAACTTGACTTTGTGGTGATGAGGACAGAGGCAGCCAGGCAGTAGGAAGTAGCCTTTGCCCTCCTTGGCGGCAGGCTGGCGCTCGGGCTCCAGGAGGCACGGAAAGTGGGCGCTCTGGTGGACGCGGTTGGGATCGCCCTGGGCCAGGTACAGAGCGTGGGAAACCGGGTACACGGAATGGCGGAGACCGGTGAACCTGCCTTCGCCCTCTGCCGTGGTCGCCCGGTCTTGGTCTTGTGGTGGGAAGAAGCCTGGGAGTCCCAGGTCTCTGGCGGTCATGGGAGGAGTTTTGAAGGCGGGGTACCCATCCTCTAGCTTGGGCTTGGAGCTGGGGATCGGCCTGTACAACTCTTTGTCCCGGAGCTGGGCATCCAGCTTCACTTGCTGTGGAAATAAATCACACATGAACTGAGAGCTGAGCTCGGTGAGAGGCCAAGCTTCCTTGGCCTCATCCTCCAGGGAGCACACTTGTCTTTATTTAAAAAACATTGGGGGCGCCTGGGCGGTTCAGTCCTTTGAGTGTCCTACTCTTGATTTGAGCTTGGGTTGTGATCCCAGGGTGGTGGGATCCAGCCCCATGCTCCGTGTGACGCCCGCTTAGGATTCTCTCTCTTTCCCTCTGCCCCTCTCCCCCACTCATGCTCTCTCTCTCTTAAAAAAATTTTTAATTAGGGGCGCCTGGGTGGCGCAGTCGG